CCATGCTGATACGACAACGAGACCTCCTTGACGCTTGTTAGACGTCAAATGATATCCAGAAATTTGTCACCCCAGGCGTGCCTGCCTAACCGTAGCTAGCAGTTAAGGTGTGGGATTGTCAGTCCCGAATAGATCTATTCACAAATTCCTCGCTCTCCCTCCAGGATACTCTGGTTACACATCCAGGGAGGATTTACTGATCATCCATAAAGGGTAGTGACTAACTCACAGACTAGTACTAAACTATTCACAAGGTTCTCATACGATATCAAACATACAAAATATTATGAAACGTGATACAACGAATATAGATACATACAATGAAACTATCTGGCAATACATTTAAGTGATACGGAGATAAACTGAATCAGACATAGTTTATCTTAATAACTTTATATACATATTAGTACGTGATAAAACGGACACTAAATAACCCCAAATTATTCCCATAATAATTTGATTAGTTTGGTTATTTTCTTAACTAAAATCCATTTAGTTGTAATTGATAAATCATCCCTTATGCTCAACATAATACATAAGGGGTAAAAGTGTTTATAAATTTGCCAGACATTATTTGAAACACATCAATGTTATGTTCTGAAAACAGTTATAGTTTTCTTGTATTCCCCCCCTTGAAAACATTGAAAAACACGGAAAATGCGTAGGGGTATGAACTCACCGGACAAGAAAATGTGATGATTTCGGATGCTAAACGTTGGTCTGGGGCTTGCAAACGCACGAGGTTCCTAAGTATAATTTAAAGATACACATTTGTATCTAATTAGGACTCATATTGATTATTTCATAGGGACAATTACTTCTAGTCGCGAAAACACCCCGATACAAGTGTTTGGTGGGACCCGGGTGACATTTGGGGACACATATAGCTAGGATATTGAAATGGGACTCCAAAAGTAAACTGCTTAGGGATTTTACGGCCCTAATGACCCCCTCCCCATGAGTTTACGGCCGTAAAGTCATGGTGGGGTGATTTATGGCACAAAATGGCTTGAAACACTTAGGGGATAATTTCTAGGCTTGGTTTAAGGGCTTGGAAGTATTTTTAAACACCAAATGGACCTATTTAAGGGAGTTTACGGCCTAGCATAGGACTCATGGCCGTAAACTCTCAAATCCCCATGAATAAGTGTGTTATTGGTTCCAAACAAATCACATGTGATTGCTAAAATTGTTTCATGGCCTTTCATGAATTTTTATGGGACTTTTGAGGGGTTTTTGGAGTTTACGGCCCATGAGACCCCCCTCATGGCCGTAAACTCTCCTAGAGAGGGATTCCTTGTGTTTTAAGGCCAAAAAATTGTTTATATGTACTTCTAAAAATTATTCCAAGGCTTTAGGGGTGTCAAAGTGGCTTTCTAACACCTTAAAATGAGTTTACACCATGTTTCAAGGAGTTTACGGCCCAAGCACATGCCTTGGCCTTAAACTCATATAAATCCCTCAAAAATTATGTTTAAAGTGTTCTAAGGCTAAAGCAATTATTCTAGAAGTCATATCTATGTCTTGTTGAGGTTTTGGAAGGGTTTAAGGTCAAAAAAACCCCATATACATGAGTTTAAGGCCCAAGCATCTGCCTTGGCCATAAACTCATTCAAAGCACTCAAAATCCATGTCTAAAATGTTATAAGTCCATTCCATGAAGTCATATAGCCATATCTAAGGTCCAATTGTGTTTTGGAAGGGTTTTTGGGCTCCAAAACCCATTTCATATGAGTTCACAGCCTAGGATTGTTCCAGGGCCATAAAATCATGAATGTGGTCCTATTCCATGTTTTGAACTCGAATTTGAAGGCTAGGGAGGTTACATAACAAGCTAGGGAAGGTACCTTAGAGATTTGAGGCCTTAAATTTGAGTTTTGGACCCTTAAACTTGGATTTAGGAGAAAGGTTAGAGAAAGAGTAGAGAGAGGAAGAAAAAGCTTCAAATGAATGTTTAAACATGTTTATATAGGTCCTTAAACTTGGACACGGAGGAATTCTACCCAATACTGGCATTAAACGGGGCTTTACGTCGCACTCGATTAAGTTTCCGTCACCCGGCGGGGATGTTTCTAAACTTTTTGAAATAATCATTTTGGGCTGAATTCATGAGTTCCTAAGAGGTTTGGACACTCATTAGCATTAATTAAACATATAATCTTGATTAACTAAACCCAAAAACGACATCGGAACGTTTCGATATACGGGTAGAATGGGTTTTTGGCAATGAACAACTTCGGGTTGTTACACTTATCCTTCCTTTTAATTTCTACTACAAACTAATATCAACAATGCAATTTTATTCAACCATACAATCATACAAAGTGGTTGAAAGAGCAAGCTTGCATTATCATCCTTCAAATCTCCATAAGAAACCATATTACCCCATGAAATCAATTTGCTTAACTGCAACCCATAAAATTGATCAGAATCCAAGAATCATATGGATAATCCACCATGATCACAAAAACTTCAACATTTCTAGAGAGAGAAAGTGATTTTGATTGAGTTTTCTAGAGAGAGAAAGTAAATATCACTTGAATTCTAGTGAAGAAAATCGAATTATGAATAGAATCAAAGATGAATTCGATTTCTAGAATTCAAACTGTCTAAAACAAAATGATCAAAGATCAAAATAAGAATCACCAAATCTAGAAAGCCAGCAAAGATCAATTCTTGATCAAATCAAGAACACCCGCTCTAATACCAATTGTGGTGGTTTGATTATGATCGCATGCGTGGAATTATAAAAGATCTAGTGAATTTTCATGTAAAAGCAAGAACACATGAAGTAAATAAATATGTGTAAGCTCATATTAGATCTAGAAAGGATATACAAATGGGTTTGTACAAATTTCTCTCTCTAGACTAACACTCCAAATAGTTCCTTCCAAATATGAGTGTTACTCACTTCCTATTTATAGGAAAGACAACTCATATAGACATCAATAAGGGTAAGCCACATCCAATCGTGACTTTCCACCTTACAATTCTCCCTCTCAAAGTTAGGGTTGGATGTCCCAACTCCAGTCTCCAACGAGCTAGCACGATAAATAGTAAACTCCCCCTTTAAGTAACACCGGTCTTCAAATCCGCAATTGAATATCCGATAAACTCGTTTTCAATGTCCATCAGATGTAAACATGTTTGTAATCAAGTGAATTACATAAAAAAAATTTAAGCTACACCATCCAAAATTAGTGGTAATTATATCAAGAACCTAGAATCAGAATCTTGTCAAGGGTATTTGTTGTGGACCTTGCATCAGGCTATATTCATAGTTGGGTGTTCATTCATGCTAATTGGGTGGTTGAGAGACGACTTTCTCCCTTTAGATCCTAATTGACCATTTTACCCCTAGTGTTACTTTGGTGGAATTCAAACTGTTTATTTTGTACTACTATGTTATCAGCTCAAGGCTCTATATGCAAAATTCATGCATCGTGTGTGCTTGTGCTTTTATTTTTCTTAGTGTTGCTTGAATTAAATACTCCATTGCATCCTTTTCTCCTGGTTGCTGATTTGGGAGCAATATAGTTTGTCTCTATCTTCTGTTCTTTTCTACAAAGTTTTTGTATTATTCCAACTTCCTGCTGCTCCTCTTTTTTATTTATAAAATATTTTGTTGGGGAATTATGGAAGATTTTGCTCCTACTTTCATTTAACCATTCAGATGGGGCATGAATTTAGCCAAAAATACTCTCCAAACCTTGTTGACTGAAATCAAGATTATGTAACATGTTGAAATGTATATATCTACTTGTTGACATGTGGGGTTTATGATCTTTGTTTATGGTTTTGGTGTTTAAGCTATAACATTATCAATGGATGGATTGAAGGTATTTGATGCAAAAATGGTGTTGTATTTATAACCATCGAAGTGCAGCAGAATACATCTTTTGTGAACTAAGTTTAATTGTTTTTAACATATAGTCTTAATTTGATGTAATTTATTAAACTTGACAATGTTTTGATTTAATTCTAGACCATTGGTCAAAAATAGGTTATACATGAAAGTAAACTGATGTCTATACATCAATCATTCAAAAAAAATGAAGCATATACAAATATTAATACAATATACAATATAAGCATCATCTTAGCGATTATTTGTGTTATACATGATAAAAAATTGATATAAAAAAATAAACAAGATATGAGCATTTACTTGACTACATGGAATAGAAATGAGCACTTTGGTTCTCAAGATAGGGGTGATATGGCCACTCTTGACATTAAATATATGAAGACGTTATAAAAAAAGTCAAATAACCTGTGTCTCTTAAAAATGGGTCATATAGCTTTGTAGAATGTGAGCATTTCTCCTAGTTGTCTCCTAGTAACACTAATAGAACTCGGTTTTTTTTTCGAAACCAGGTCATATACCCATAAAACGAAAAGTCTTGATTGTTATGTTGGGAACCGGGTTACTTAAGTATAACATATACCCCGGTTTTTGAAAAAGAATTGGATCCTAATTGGCGAGTCCTATAATGTGTTGTATTATTGAGTCATTTTAAACTATCTCCATTCATATTTCATTGATACATAAATTTTGGTTATAAACCACATTCATAGATAAATTTTGGTTATTTACATTGATACACTATATTTTATAATTTATGGAAATATATATATATATATATATATATATATATATATATATATATATATATATATATATATGGAAGAAAATTAATTTACACATTTGCTTAATCGTTTATTTTCATTATAACTAAATTAGAATAGGAAATTATTACTACATTTTTTACTTTGGAGTTGACTTAAGAATAGAAAAGAAAAAAGGAAAACCATTTACCCATCTTAAATACTATGTTATAAGGTTAATTAACACACATTTAATTGTGTTTTGGATTGGTCCAACAAACCCATAAATCCATGTGGAAATTATATATATATATATATATATATATATATATATATATATATCTATATCATGGGAAAATGTTTAGTAGAGAAACCAAAAAAACTTCTTAAACATGGGTATTAGCAGAAAAGGTCTCCCATTATTCTACGTGATGCTTTACCTTTCATTCTTTATACATGTATCCTATAGTGTTTTGAAAGCCAAAGACCCACCATCTAGCAAACCCTTTGAACCATACAGAATTTTCATCACTAATAGAGACATTGAAACCATGATTGTTCAATGCCCACCAGGAGGTGATGAAGGTGGTCTCGAGATACTGAGACCTGGAAACATCATGACATGGCGCTTTCGTAGAAATCTTTTTGACACGAATCGCTATGATTGTAACTTTTATTGGTTAAAAGAAGGTAACCAAGTTATGAAGTCAATCACTCTTGCTGTTTTCAACAACCGTATTGCTGGAATGTGTGGTCGTAATTTGTTTAGTACGAATAGATGTTATTGGATGGTTACCAAATATGGATTTTATCTTTCAAAGCATAATCAGACATTTCCAAATGTTTATGATTGGCAGGTTATGTATGTATGGGATACGATCTGATTTATTATTTCTATTGGTTGTTTATGTGTAATTGCCTAAAAGTAATAAAAAAAATTGATGGGTTCTTGCTACAAAAGTCTCTAAGTTTAAAACAAAACGTTCCATTATGTTCGATTGTTCATTTTTACCAGCTAAGGCTATCCCCATTATCAATCTACCCCAATCAAAATTTTCTATAAAAAGACTAATTCCACCTATACAATCCAACCCAATACAATTATTTACACCAATTAGCAACCCAAGTCAATCGATTATATATTAAAATCTTATATTTATAAAACTATATCAATATTGTTGTTATTTTGTATGGAAAAATAAATTATGTATTTTGATATATATTTTATTTATTAAAGATAAAGTTTACATATAAACAAAGTTATATTTTGGTATAAAAATTAAATGATTTCTTCTAATCATTCACATTTTTTAATAGTTTTTTCTCACGAGTGGCTCACAAGAAATTACCCCCAACTGGGGTAGTCGAACCACATATTACCTTCATATGTCGGTTCACCCTTAGCTGATTAGGCGAACTGTTGAATTGGCACTGATATGCACCTCAACAATGATGACTTGTTGTATTAAAGAGAAAAAGCAGAAGGTATCAACAAAAATGGTGGCCATGGGGATTCAAACCCTGATATTCAAATCCCCTGGGGACATCTTTAACCACCAAGATAAAACGGCTTTTGCATTTTAACTCCTAACTTAATATATATATATATATATATATATATATATATATATATATATATATATATATATATATATATATGTAACATGTTTTTTTTTCTGGAACATTTTAATAATTCATATTGAAAAGATTATTTGATGTATGTTCTAATCAATTGGTAGTAAATCAGAGTAAGTAAAGAGCATGCAGATCTAAATAAGAATTGGTTTTCAACTCAATATATTCTAGAGAGAAGTACAAAGAACATTACACAAGTATGTGAAAGTTATGATTCTCTATAGTACTCACCCTAATAATCGAGTACTCACAGAACCAAAAAATACTAGGACTAATCAATAAAGTGTGAACCACAACATTACCTATTAAATACATCATTCCCAAAAACACCTAGTAAATACATAATATAAGAAATTCTTGATGACCTTCACTATTTACGTATTATTCAACATCAAAGATACTATATATGGTTTGTTATCTCACAACACTTTTAGACACCACATTCTCCCCCTTTGTAATCAAATTATAAATCTTCAAAATGTGGGTATTAACTTTGCAGTTTACACCAACACCTTTCGAATCTCCATATAACTTAAGATGATTTTCCTAATCTTTGGCCTATATTTATTCAAATTCCTCTAATAGTTGTTTATGTGATGTAGGATACTTGATAGATGCTGGTTATAATACTTTTTAACATCATCAGTACAAAATAGAAACTTCTTTTATCCTTGTTTCTTTTCCGTACTATGAAACACAACACCCATAGGATTGCGTATGATTTCTTCGTCTTCATAATCCTTGATGTTCATTTTTCCTTTCAACAAATTTTTGGGAACATTTGATTTTCTATTGAAGAGAGTGGAAAGATATATATCCGTAAATGGAAAGTACGCAAAATATGCGTCCAATAATGTCTAGATGTGTTGATATCACTAATACATACATATATATATATATATATATATATATATATATATATATATATATATATATATAGCCTTGTTTGGAATTTGATATTTACTCAAATCACCATTCAACTTTGCAGTTATGATCAAGTCATGCACATTCATAAGTGGGAAATATGCAATTGTGATCTCAAATAGCACATTTTTTTCCATTACAACACTGTATCAAAATTTTTGAAGAATTCCTTAAAACAATGCGTGGAGAACAATTAACAATAGCTTAAATATCTTTACTAAACACCACGCTTGCTCCTAATTTTTCACTAGCACAATATCAAAAATGAATTTTCATCTTCTTAAACTCATCCCGATTATTATAATTATCAAGATCCTTTAGTTGTGTAAAATGAAAAAAGAAAAACTGATTAGAAGGTCCAAGTGATTGAACTCTGACTCTTCAATGTCGTAACACTTCTTAGGCTTCAACACAAAATCATCTTCCTCTTCAAAAGTTATGTTTTGAATGGTTTCTTAGCACATGGATTTGTTTGGTTCACCTTTGGTGAGACTAGATGGATCACCATCCCATTGCCTCATTATACTGGCTAACTCTTTGAGTCTTTGGATTTCAAGTTCTTGAAGTCTTTTCTTCTTTTTTGCTGTGGGTTCAACATAGACACCCTTCCCTTTATCCTTATGATATGTGTTTGTTACTGGCTCTAAAGATGAAGAACCAGAACCTCCTTTCCCAATACTTACCCCTTCATTTTTTTCCAATTTGGATGAGCCAACTCGTTGTTGTTGATGAAGTATTGATTATCGGCTTGATAGGTAACAAAGTAGGAATTTCAGTTGAGTTCAAGTTCCGAACTACCTTGGATTTATCTTCTCCATCATCATTTGATGAACAAACTCCCCTTTCTACCCGATTTGACACATTCGAAGAACGTGAAGCATTAGTTGGAAGTGGAAGTACGAAATCTACTATTTTGAGATAACTCAGACTTGAAACAAGATTCCACTAACAAAGGCATAAAAGTTAGCTGGTATTGGGATAACAAAGTGGTTAATAGAACCTCAAATTTCTTCATCGTTCCTTGTAACCCAAGTTAATCGATTTTATATTAAGATCTTATATTTATAAAACTATATCTATATTGTTCTTATTTTGAATGGAAAAATAAATTATGTATTTCGATATATATACTTTTTTTTTATTAAAGATAACGTTTAGTTATAAACAAAGTTAGTTTTTGGTATAAAAGTTAAATGATTTCTTCTAATTATTCACATTTTTTAATAGTTTTTTCTCATGAGCGGATCACAAGAAATTACTCCCAACTAAGGTAGTCGAACCACATTTTACCTTCAAAAGTCGGTTAGCTCTTAGCTGATTAGTCGAAGTGCTGAATCGGGGCCGACATGCACGTCAACCTTGATGACTTGTATTAAAAGAAAAAACAGTAAGTGTCAACGAAAAGAGAGGGCATGGGGATTCAAAAGCTGATCTTCAACTCCCTTGAAGACATCTTTAACCACAAAGATAGAACGGCTTTTGCATTTTAACTCCTAACTCAATATATATAGCATGTTTTGTTTTTGGAACATTTTAATAATATGTATTGAAATCATTATTTGATGTACGTTCTAATCAATTGGTAGTAAAGCAGAGTAAGTAAAGAACACGAAGATCTAAATAATATTTTGTTTTCAACTCAATATATTCTAGAGAGATGTACAAACAACGTTACACAAGCGTGTGAAAGTTATGATTGTCTATAGTACTCACCCTAATACTTGAGTACTCATAGAACCAAGAAATACTAGGACCAATCATTCAAGTGAGAACCACAACATTACCTAGTAAATACATCGTTTCTAAAAAAACCTAGTAAATACATAGTGTAACAAAGTCTTGATGAACTTCGTTATTTATGGACTATTTGATATCAAAGATAGTATCTATGGTGTGTTATCTCACAACACTTTTCGACACCACATTCTCCCCTTTGTAATCAAATGATAAATCTTAAAAATGTGTGTATTACCTTTGTAGTTTTCACCAAAACTTTTCGAATCTCCATATAACATAAGATGATTTTCCTAATCTTTGCCCTGTCTTCATTCAAATTCCTCTAATAGACGTTTATGTGATGTAGGATACATGATAGTTTCAGGTTATAATACTTTTTAACATCATCAGTACGAAATAGAAAATTCTTTTATCCTCGTTTCTTTTCTTTACTGTGAAAGACAACAACCATTGGATTGCGTATGATTTCTTCATCTTCATAATCCTTGATGTTCATTTTTCCTTTCAACAAATTTTTGGGAACATTTGATTTTCTATTGAAGAGAGTGGAAAGATATATATTCGTAAAAGGCAAGTACGCAAAATATGCATCCAATAATTTGACAACCCGAAGTTCGTTCCATTGTTTGTAATCCTTTACGTTAATACATACTTCGTTTTCAATTTCATTTCCGTTTACATCACTAAATTAAGTCATAAATGTGGGATTTTTTTATGACTTAATGGGTGTCCAAACGTGTTTAGAACTCATATTAACACTCCATATTAGTAATCGGAAACTGTAACATCCGGAATTTCAGGTATTATATTTATTCATTTTATTTTGAGTTTTGTGAACAACTCGGCGAGTTGGTGCGTAGACTCGCCGAGTAGAGATGCCATTTCTCACCCAGATTATAACCGGACTCGGCGAGTCACATTGGTGGACTCGGCGAGTCTGCGCTGTTTAATGAAACCTTAATTTCTAGGGTTTGGTGCCTATTTAAAGGGCCTTATGGCCGTTATTTGTGCTCACCAGCCCCCAGAGCGAAACCCTAGTGAACTTGAGCTTTTGGAGTGAGAGAAGGAGCCATTGTCGACCTTGGAGGTGTTGTCTAGCAAGGGAAAGGAAGCTATAGCCAAGAGGAAGCAAGGGGGTTAACTTCTTGAAGATCTGAGGTCCAGAACATCACGTTTGAGGTACTATTTTCGATCCATTTTCTGTTAAGGTGATGTTCATGTTGATTTAGGGATTATTAAGCCCTTATGTGACTAGATCTAGTGCTCCCAAGGTCCTTTAAGTGAATTAGGTTATGGATTTGGACCCATGGAGGTCCAGAGTGCCTCTTTGTCCAAGCTTTATATGAGTCTATGGAGGTTTTGGTTTGGGATCATTGTGTGTAAGGTCAAAACACCATTTATGAGTCAAAAGGTGTGATATGAGCGCCAAGACATAAACTTTACGTGAGAAATAAGCTTGGAAAGACTGCATCTACAAGCTAGTGGAACATATCTGACCTCAGAAGGTCGTTTGGGGTTATACATGGCATGCACTCACCGAGTCCATTGGCAAACTCGGCGAGTTGGAGCGAGTTGATTCGTGATTTCG